GTCTATTCACAATTTTTTTTTACTGAACATGGTCTTGGTTAATCTGACATGAATTATTCAAGTTTATTATTGCGTCAGAGCAAAGCTTTAAATTAAAAAAATAAATAATAAAAAAAATTTACAAAACTACTTACTCCGCTGCTTACTGGTCCAAACTTGTGGCCTGAGGAATCTGGTTCTTCTAAATACAGAGTGTAAAAGTGTGGTCTATATCAAACAGTACCAAAAATGTAATATTTTACATAGACGTTGAGACAGTTTGAAGATATTTCAACAACGGATATCAAATATTGGAAACACACTGTCATTCAGAGGAAGGACACGTTTAAAGGGAAATAGAGAAATGCAATTTAATTTAAAAAAGGTGTAAGTCATAGAAACAGGCTTGCATTAAATAGGATTTTAATATTGCTAGAATGATGCATAAGGTATTGTTTAAATCAGAAATCATATTTACATTATAATACCACTTGAAGAGGAATTTACACTTGTAATGATATACCTACCTTTCATCCTCAGGCAGCTGCAGCCAGCGAAGAACAGTTACCACCCTTTCTTCAAAGGGGATTGAGCTGCATCAGAACAACACAAGATCAACCAAGAGCTAAAAAAGTTTAGCCACTTATTACAAAAATCAATGTATTTTAGCAGAGAAAATTGAAGTCAACCGGATGCAAGTTTCTCTACGCTAATTGCCTGTGACTCTACAGGAGTTAATGACCACTGATTGCAATGCAATTAGAATAAAGCTCCCAGTATTTCCTTGTGTTTATTATACAAAGAGAATAACTGCCTTCAAGGAGCAAAATCACGTGCAGGTTTTTATTCCTGTATTATGTTTTGAAAAAGTTTTAGTTGGGGGGTGGACAAACAATAAGTACGTTGACCTGTAACAACATGAGGCACCCATAAAGTTAGGAATTGAGCTACTTAAGTCAAGCTCAAGTAATAATGTACAAGTCCCTAGAGAAAAAAATGGAGGCAGCAAATCCAGAATCAGAGGTACCAGGCTATATGAAAGGCGTAGCATGAGAAAAACAACCCTAGGAAAACAAAAATGAGAAGCCTGATTTCTAGGGCAACACTTGAGGTTAAGTAAATGGTGATAAACAGATTTATGTAGAATTTTCATTAGACAGAAAACGTTTAATTGCAGTGAGGAGCAATTGCTGACTAAACCGTGGCTGCCTTAATAGGATATTTTTTCAAAATTTGCAATGAAAATAATTTTACATTGGAACAATTTACCACAGTCAACAGTAAAACTTGAGTTTTCATGGCCACATCAAGACCTGATCCATTCACTGTATGAGAGGTTTGGATTGAGTGACTCTAAACACAACCTCTGAAGACTTTTATAAGTAGGAACAGAAGAGCACTAAAGCTTCAAAGCTGGCTGTCCTTTAAGCTGATTTTTCCACATCTTTGCTGTTAAACATTTGCTGAGGAACAACAAAACAATTAAACAAAGAATCTACATTGTTCTGAAACAGAGTTAATCAGATCCTATCTTTTTTCCATGTTGTGTACAACTGTTTAGAAAAGCAGGAGAAAACCACTGATGCTTTCTCTGGTGTCTGTCCTGCTGCAACAGTTAAAGCAATATATCAATCCAAGACCCAGGAGTTTACACACCTGTTGTATTTTTCATACAGGTTTGGGAAGGTTCCATTCACTGCTACGTCTGACCCAGGCCAAAAGAAGGTGCCCGCTTTTAGACCCTGGTACATAGCCGTTAGCCAGATCTGCGGGAGAAGAACAACTACCATCATTAGATAGATACACCTCGCAGATACACCACCAGATACACCTTAGAATCACAGAATTGTCTGGGTTGGAAGGGACCTTTCAGATCATCTAGTCCAACCATCAACCTAACTCTGGTAAAAACCATCACTAACCCATGTCTCTAAGCACTATGTCAACCCGGCTTTTGAACACCTCCAGGGATGGTGCCTCAACCACTGCCCTGGGCAGCCCATTCCAATGTGCAATAACCCTTTCCGTGTCAAAATGTTTCCTAATCTCCAATCTGAACCTCCCCTGGGCCAACCTGAGGCCATTTCCTCCTGTCCCATTGTCTCCCAGTTGGGAGAAGAGACCAACCCCCCCTGGCTACACCCTCCTTTCAGGGAGTTGGAGAGAGCCAGAAGGTCTCCCCTCAGCCTCCTTTTCTCCAGGCTGAACACCCCCAGCTCCCTCAGCCTCTCCTCACCAGACTTGTGCTCCAGACCCCTCACCAGCTTTGTTGCAGCTCAGTTCCTCGTGGCAAACACTCGCATCCCTTCTGCTGCTACACCAGAAGTGGGAACCATCAGCTCCCGTGGATGGAGCATTAGCTCAGTGTTAGTGTCCTAGTTTGAGGACACTGGTTTGAGAACCATGGCTGAACACCAAGTAGCGGAAATGTCTCAAGAAGAGTGATGCAAGGAGGGGTGGGAATGTTCCCAGGACCTATGCCTCACATATTTTGAAGTATGGGAGCAAGAGTTTGGTCAACTCTTCTGATTTTACTGCCAATCTCACAATTTGAAGGTTTCTGTTTGCTTTCTGTATGTTTTCCTGCCTGATTTGTATACCACCTTCTTCTCAGTGGCCCATAAGTCTACACTTGTGTGTTCTTTCCCAGAAAAAGTAAAATTAAATAAAAAAATTGATCCTCCCCACATTACTCAATAGTTGCATCTGTTCCCTTGCTATTCTTCTGTTCTCCAGACCAGCACACCCAACCTTTCCCCTGCCACTTCCTTTCGATGGCACTCTCGACAGATGTGCCACAGCTGTACGATTGAACCAAGAGGGTTTCTTTTAAAAATCACATCTTTAGATTTGATGGTAGTCTGGGCAGAGTGTAAACCTTTAATTCTGTTTATCACTAAAACTAATTGGTTTCCTCAGAGAGGTTAACCGCAAGCCCGCTTCACATTAAAAACAGAAGAAAAATCTGGTTTCTTTATTAGTTATTTCGAGATAGTTTTTTTTTTTCCCTAGAGAAAATTCCCTGTAAATTCAATCACGTCTGTTGCACTTTTGTTTCATTTGTCATTCTGCAGCTCGAGCATGGGAATTCCTAATCGTGCTGAGTAATGCTTCTTGGCTGACTTAGAGGCACCCTCTGTACTCTTTCGACATCGCTGTGCATCCAAGTGGTGTTAAGTAACAGGGGGACAGGCTGATGGGCGTCCTCAGCAGCGTGTCAGTACTTACAGGCTGTCCCTGGTACCACTGAGGGTTGAACTTCTCCTGGCTTTTAAGGGTGAAGGACGCGTTTCTTTTAGGGTCGTACATCTTGTTATCAATTATGCCGTGAGATTCAGGATACAGCCCCTGTAATTGAGAGCACACCTCATCACGGGGATGGAGAGAAAAAGAGCCCTCCGGGTACGCAAACGGACCTCCGTTAAACAAATATGTCCAGTGAATAATCTATATGTGACTTATACTCCACCAGTGCCTCAAGACCCAAATCTAACAGAATCATAGAGTGGCAGGGGTTTGGCTACACAAACAGATCTCTGTTAAACAAATATGTCCAGTGAATAATCTATATGTGACTTATACTCCACCCGTGCCTCAAGACCCAAATCTAACAGAATCATAGAGTGGCAGGGGTTGGAAGGGACCTCTGGAGATCATCCAGTCCAACCCCCTGCCAGAGCAGGTCCACCCAGAGCGCGCTGCACAGGAACGTGTCCAGGTGGGTTTGAATGTCTCCAGAGATGGAGACTCCACCACCTCTCTGGGCAGCCTCTTCCAGGGCTCTGCCACCCTCACAGGAAAGAAATTATTCCTTATGTTTAGATGGAACTTTCTGTGTTCAAGTTTGTGCCCGTTCCCTCTTGTCCTGTCCCTGGGCACCACTGAAAAAAGACTGGCCCCATCCTCCTGACACCCACCCTTTAAGCATTTGTATGCGTTGATCAGACCCCCCCTCAGTCTTCTTCAGACTAAAAGGTCCCTCAGCCTTTCCTCATCAGAGAGGTGTTCCCAGGCCCCTCATCATCCTTGTGGCCCTCTGCTGTACCCTCTCCAGCAGTTCCCTGTCCTTCTGGAACTGGAGAGCCCAGAACTGGTCCCAGTGCTCCAGATGGGGCCTCCCCAGGGCAGAGCAGAGGGGCAGGATGACCTCCCTCCATCTGCTGGTCACACTTCCTGATGCATCCCAGGATGCCATTGGTCCACTTGGCCACAGGGGCACATTGCTGGCTCCTGGGCATCAACAGCATCACCTACCATTCCTACCAAGCTCTACCTCCCAATTCTTAACCACTTCGCAGTGAGATTAAAAAACTCAGGCAAGAAAAGTGCTCTGGGATCAAACTGGAAGTCACCATCTCAGTTCAGCACACGTATCTTTAATACCGACAACAAAGAATTAGCTGCACTGGACATCCGTGACATGACCAAAAAGCAGGGCTTTCAAAGAAGAATTGCCTACCAGCACGTGAAAGCTCTAGCCAGGGATAACCATCACCCAAGCAGAGCTCAGAGCCACCAGCTTCTCAGTCATTTTAACAGACTTTGTGCTCTGCCTTCAAGCAGGCAGCTTCTTTTCACATTAAAGAATATACCACCACCACCATTAGGACCCCGATAAACACCTTTTATACCTGATAAACTACTTTTCACAAGAACGGGGAGTGGAGATAAAGCTCTTTACTGTAATTAGGGACACTCCCACACGGCATGATTAATGTCCCTTAGTTGCATATTCAGTGATGGATGTTTGAAAGGATTACACAATTAAACATATCCTTCCTCAATTGCCAAAAAGTCCTGACAAACTGGGAAGATAAGAAAAAAGGTGCAAATCCTCAAGTATTTGACGAAGTTCTAACAAACTGGGAAGATATGAAAAAAGGTGCAAATCCTCAAGTATTTGACTAAACCTTAGATCTGACATGATGAAACTAAGAAGGATCTGCTGGATTCCAACCCCGTATTATGTGTTGAAAACCTCTGTTGTTTTCTTCTTTCCCTCCTATACGCAGAAGGTGATAAATTTACAAGATCACTTTTGTGACATTCCTAGTCCAGGTTTGGGTACAGTCCATCACAGAGTCTACATCAATGTGATGTTCAAGCCTTTCCTTTCATTCCATACCCTACTTTGCATCAGACCAAGCTACCTTAAAGGCTGGCACTGTAAAGGAGACTTTTAAAAGAAAGAGAACGAGTTGCAATTTATTGTGCAAATATTTACACAATTGAGGAGTTGTAAAGTGATGTGACCTTCCACCTCTATGGGAATTCTTATTACTTAATAAGATTCGATCTGCCCACTTAGCTGTAGTGTTATTTAGAGACTGTTAATCTAAATTAGATGAAGAGTATTAGATATACATTTTCATATTCTGAAGGGAAACCCTATTATTTTAACAATCCATCAACAGAATATACTATTCTCTTGGAGACAACTCGATAATCAATATTCTCTTCAGTAGAGAAAACATAGAATATGCGAAAATTCTTACTGTGACGATGGAGTAATGATTGGGGAAGGTTTTGGAAGGATACACTGGTCTCATACCGGAAGTGTATGTTCCACATTTCTCTAGAGGGAGAAATAAAGAAAATCAGCAAAATTACACAAATAGAAACCCTTGCAAGTTTGTCTCATGAATACATATAACTATTAAAATAAAAAAAAGAGATAAGATATTTCCAGAAAGTTTTCATTTTCAAAATTCTAGAGTTAATACTTCATTTTTCTTCCCATGTTCATTTACAAGCTGCCTAAATGGCTATTAATCCAATTTGTATTTATACCCAATGACTGACTTCAGCGGTCAGATGAGCAAAACCTACAGTCCTCATGAAAAAAGTGCATGGATAAGAATGAATAATCAAAGAAATCACACCCTCCAGAGTCGCCGTGGTGCGTGGCAAGTGAAATTTGGAGCTGGAGACCAGCTGCTTCCCCCTGAGCCCTCCCAGAGATGAAGTGGCCACTGGTCCAGTGGTGCCTTGGCTCTTGCTGTCCCCTGGCAAATCACTATTTACTTTGCTGTCTCCTTTTTGCTTGTGGTTGGTTTGGGTTTTGTTGCTAAAAATAAGCTCTTACTCGAGGATGAATCACAAAGTTTTCTTTATCTTGATATAAAAATCGTAGGTTTTTAAGGAGCTTAGTGCACAGTATTTGCTAATATTAAGAGTCATGAGCCGGCCCAAAGAACTTAAGCAAATGTTGTTTATGTCACGTGCCTACATTCCAACAGGCAAATGTATAGGCTCTGATTTTCAGAAAAGAAAAGTGGAGGAAGGGGGAAAAAAAGAACAAAAAAGGAGGGGGGGAAAAAAGGAGGGGGGAAAAAAAGGAGAAAAAGCCTTCATTAACAACTTAAAAAATACTATGTGATAACCAAAACCACTTCAACTGATGCCAAAGAGCCAAAAAGCAATGACCCTATTGAAAGGCCACCACTGGATCTCTGTGTCACTATATACAATATAAATAAAATAGAAAAGAAAGGCTTGATAACGTAAGAGGTGTTGCCTCAAGGCACTTTGAACTCATCGGTTTGGGGCTTTGGATTTGGGTCTCAGTTGAAATAATCAATTTGAGCTGACTAAGACAAAAAAGAAGCCAAGCTGGAAAAATAAACCCTCTTAAGTTGCACAGCCATCCTCTCCCACATCTGTGTTCGCTGGTCACAAACCATCACTTCTACCCTTATTGCTACTGCAAAATGCTCAATTCATTCCAACCATTTCCAAAACTGACATTGAGGCTGTTTTCTGAAATTTCATATTTTTTGGTGGGGGGAGGTTGGTTTTTTTTTTGTTTGTTTTGCTTTTAATTAAGAGAAAAGTACACTTTAAAACTTTCGCTTTGTCCAAAATTCTAGGGGGTTTTCCTGGGACTTTCCATAGGAGTTATCGTTCTTCTTTTTGGCTTGTTGCCTTTGTTGAAGACAATTTAAGGTAAAAGGAAGATTTATTTTTCAATTACGATATCACAGCATAAAGTATATGAACATGAACCCCATAAAGCACCCATTATGGCAATGCCTGGGTTCACTGAAAACCCCCAGCTTGATAAAAGTATGTGAACACGAACCCCATAAAGCACACATTATGGTAATGCCTGGGTTCACTGAAAACCCCCAGCTTCACCTAAATTTCCCACCTTTCAGCAGGCAGCAGAGAGAACGAGTGTATACTAAAATGTGCTAAAAATGAAATTATGGTATTGTCTTACAGACATCTGCCCTAACAAACTTCTCCAGGGAGAGATCAGAATTTCATTGTAGGCATGGCTGAATCAACAGGACTGGATAACAGGAATATTTTGATCTCACAGAATGCTGCGCTTCCCATCGAGTGTTTTAAAGAGGAAAATCCAGGGATTTAGCACAGTTCTAATTTAATAGAGAACTAGGCAGTAGGATGTTATTTTATTTAATGTGAATAGCTGTTTGCTGCTTTTTAAATGCTGCCATTCATAAACTGTGTCCCTTTCTGAACACTTACTAGTCCTGTATATGTATAACTGTGAACTTCAAAAGGATTCAACACAATTTTTCAGTGATTTCAGTAATTTATCCGTTATTGTCACTGGTCCTCCTACACAGAGGAACAGATTTCATTACCCTTTCCTGCACAGTAAATTACTGCAGCAGCATTGACACGCTCACAGAAATGTTTTTTCTTTACAATCTGATTCCTTGCACCATTTCCAGTGCCCAAACACATGGGACTGTAGTATATCCTATCAGGAAAGTCTTCTATCAATAGTAACATAGACCTGTAGCAGAAATAATATTCTACCCCTTGGCTGTGATTCCTTGCACCATTTCCAGTGCCCAAACACATGGGACTGTAGTATATCCTATCAGGAAAGTCTTCTATCAATAGTAACATAGACCTGTAGCAGAAATAATATTCTACCCCTTGGCTGTTCCTTATTTTATTGTGTCTGAAACATGTATTTATCAGACATTCTGGTTTTAGAATCCTTTAAAAAAAAAGATGTAAGTTTTGACCATTAAGAACTCCACGGTTCTGGGGAAGTGAAGTGACTTTGATGAAGACGCTGAGATATTTATACTTCTTAGTGGTCAGAATTTACCATGGGTCGAGTGGAAAGAGAAATACAGGTTTATTATAGAAGTCAATTAGAGAAGTTGCACTGCAGCCTGTCCAGACCAAGGAAGGAAGGAACTTCACACGTGGAAGTGGATGTCACAGCCTGGAAGTCCTACAGATGCTGCTTTGTGGCACTGTTATTTTATATCTCAGCCAGAACTATAACCATTTGTAATCAGCAGCTTCTCCTCACAACACCCAAGAAACTGTCTTCAGTTGAATTTTTTTTTATAACCGCGTCTAATGAAATAATTTCAAAGGCCTTGTTTTATTCTAAATTGAAGAAAACAAAAATAAAAACCAAAACCCAAACCCTAAAACCTCAAATACATCTGCGAATTGTTATCCTCTGGAACGGATCAAGTTGTAACAACTGCTGTACGAAAAAGCAAGTATTTTTACTGATTTATTTTTAGTCAAAATGAAACCAGTTATCCCAGGTAGTAATTTTTGAATGACAAGAAGATTGGCATATTTTTCAGACAAGAAATGCCATCAGTTCTTTACAGACCACAGCCAAAATAGAGACAGGAAAAGTGACTAAAGTTACTCAGACACTACCAAAGCTAGGAAAAAATATATACTTATGAGGCTCCCATTTCTTCTGAAAATGTTTGTTAAATGAAAGTTTTCTCAGATTCAGCACTGAATCCACCAGCCCTTCTGTATCATCTGTTCCTGATCTCTTCCTTCTCTATCTTCTTGCTTTTAAAATATAACCAACTGCTTTTTACCTTGCTTTCCATTTTTCCAAAGCCATTCCACCTAACTATGAGACAATATATAACCAATATATACCAAATATATACCCAATACAGAGCAAAGAGAGGGTCTACTTCTTTTTTGAAGAAATAAAGTAAGCTCGCCTCAAAAAAAGTCCACCTCCTAAATACAGCAAGAGCTACTTCATAATTTTTAAGGTTTCACTGAAAATCCAGAGGGCCCTTTCAAGTCCTTCCACCCTCACACACCTCGGGTTGTCCGTGAACAGTTGTTTAGGGGCAACAACTTCAACATCCACAGAAGAAGGGTGAGGGTTTTAAGGAGTAAGCACAGCTGCACCTATGGATTTTTCAGGTAAGACATCAGGATATTGCTTAGACAAAAGAACTACTCACGTAATTTGCTAATGACAGGCAGGAGTCCACCCCAGGTCTGCAAATATTCTGCTCTGAAGCCGTCCAGTGAAAACAGTAACACCGGAGACTTGGTAAATCTGAACAAACAGAAATTAAAGCATTAAAAAGACAGACTCTGAGAAATAATTTCCTATCACTTATTTCAAGCAAGTTTTCCTCCCCCCCCCCCCCCCCCCCCCCCAACAACGAGGAGTGACGCGCCCCGGGCCAG